GGCCACGATGAAGGGAGGTAAGGATGAAAGGAGGGCAGGATGAAGAGAGGTCAGGATGAAGGGAGGCCAGGATGAACGGAGATCAGGATGAAGGGAAGTCAGGATGAAAAGATGTCAGGATGAAGGGAGGCAGGATTAAGGGAGGTCAGGATGAAAAGAGGTCAGGATGAAGGGAGGCCAGGATGAACGGAGATCAGGATGAAGGGAAGTCAGGATGAAGGGAGGCAGGATTAAGGGAGGTCAGGATGAACAGAGGTCAGGATGAAGGGAGGCCACAATTAACAAAGGTCAGGATGAAGGGAGGTCAGGATGAAGAGAGGCCACAATGAACAGATGTCAGGATGAAGGGAGGCCACAATGAAAGGAGGTCAGGATGAAGAGAGGCCACAATGAACAGAGGTCAGGATGAAGGGAGGCCACAATGAACGGAGGCCACGATGAAGGGAGGTCAGGATGAAGGGAGGGCACAATGAACGGAGGCCACGATGAAAGGAGGTCAGGATGAAGAGAGGCCACAATGAACAGAGGCCACGATGAAAGGAGGTCAGGATGAAGAGAGGCCACAATGAACGGAGGTCAGGATGAAGGGAGGCAACAATGAACGGAGGCCACGATGAAGGGAGGTCAGGATGAAGAGAGGTAAGGATGAAAGGAGGACAGGATGAAAAGAGACAGGATGAATGGAGGCAGGATTAAGGGAGGTCAGGATGAATGGAGGCCAGGATGAAGGGAGGCAGGATTAAGGGAGGTCAGGATGAACAGAGGTCAGGATGAATGGAGGTCACAATTAACAAAGGGCAGGATGAAGAGAGGGCAGGATCAAAAGAGGTCAGGATGAAGGGAGGCAGGATTAAGGGAGGTCAGGATGAAGAGAGGCAGGATGAAAGGAAGTAATTTTGCAACTTAGTTTAGTAAGTTTTTTAATTTGTTCTAAAAAAGTTTAGCATTTATCTTTTTAAGCCCTGCAATGGATTGGCGACCTGTCCAGGTTGTACCCCGCCTTTCGCCCGATGTCAGCTGGGATTGGCTCCAGCCCCCCGCGACCCTGTACGCAGGATAAGAGGTTGACAATGGATGGATGGATGGATGGATTTATCTTTTCAATGAATCTTTTACACCCCTGTAGCACCTTTATTTTCTACAATAAGAAGGTACTCTTTTATGTATTTATCTTAACAGACTACATGTTTTCATAAAAAAAGGAGCTTTACACACATCTTTATAAGAGCGTATGATAATGGTAGCAGATTTTAGCACGCCATAGTCAATTTTAATCTTACAAAACGTAATTTTCCAACAACAAATATGTGGCTCATGAAAAGGCTGTGTGGCTAGTAACTTTGGAAAACAACATTGTCCATTGAGCAAAAAAGTTAATGTCACGCCCTGGTAGTAAACATGCTTACTCCTCTTTCTTGACTTCCTTCTTGGCTCCCTCTTCACCACAATGGTCCGGTACAATGGCTGCATTACTGCTGAGGCACGAATCCACCTCCCTCTCCATTTTGCTGTCACTCGATCCCGAGATACTTAAACTACTTCACTTGGGGCAGCAACTCACCACCAGCAGTCCACGGTTTTGCAGCAGAGAGCCATGGCCTCAGACTCGGAGGGGCTGATCCTCACTTGCTTCACATTGTGAGAAGGAAAACAAATCGAGATCCGGCTCAGAAAAGCTCTGCCTTTAATTTAATATTTGACCCAGTTTTAAGACAGACTTTGGTTCCTATTGTAGTGAACAACGGTGTGGATTTGTGCATTTTGTATTGAATAAATTTGGAACTACTCCAAATTCCTTTTTTTCTCCCACAGAGGAGCAGGGGGTCAAAGTTGCTTCTTCTAAGTGCTATCCCTGACCATAAAACTGGCACCCTTTTGATTCCGAAGCTGATAACGCGGGGCCTGACTGTTAAACTGACAAAGGGACACGAACCAGCCATTAGCATTTCCCTGAACAGCCTATCAAAACTGGCCCCCCCACACATGTTTCCGTGGCAACTGACCTTATTCTTTCTTTTATTACCACATCAAAAAGGAAAACCCTTGTCTCACCTAAGTGTGACATAATCCAGGACAGCCAAACTTTGAATGGCCAAAGACTGCAGTCTCCAAAGACTCAAAGCATTTAATTAAGTTTAATTAAATCTTTAGTTACCTGATTACGTTTGCCTCTATTTTAGTAGTTAAGTTAACATGTTGTTGCTTTCTGTTGTTTATCAGTGCTGAAAAGAAAGTTACTTTTGCAGTGTTTTTATTTTCAGCAAGACACTCCATCTAATGCAATCAATGCTTGTTCATAATACTTTCCTACAAAATTCCTTTAGAAATGATGACAAAGGAATGTTTTACTATACTCTTAACTGCCGGCTTAAATTTAAGGATGAATCAACAAAAATTCCCTGGTTCCTAACGAGAGACGATCTTGGATTAATCCAAGCTTTCCTCATGTAACCTGAGCTCCCCCAAGTTGACGAAATAAGTATTACATGCCCTCGTTGGAAATGCCGTTAAATGTATAAATATCCTGACCAATAATGTGACAATTGTTTCCTGTTACCAACTAGAACGGTACAACCGTTCGACCATTGAGGTTCGATTGTGGAAAATATTTGATTAATACGCGCAAATAGATTTCTTTTCTTTAGACATTAAGTTTAGAGAGGCAGTCCCTTGGGAAACCTGAGACGCCCCCTGGGCCACGCCCCAGGCAACAAAAGAGCGACACACGACCTTGCGTGCTCTCTCTTCTCTTCGCTCTTGGCTCTCTTCCACTCTGCTCTGCTCTGCTCTTTGGACGCTTCGGCACACATCGGCGTGCAGCGCCAGGCAACGCTCTCAGAGTCGGCCAGCGAAACAGGCCTTTTGTTCGCCTGAAGCTACACACATGAAGTGCCGCGACATCGATCTGCCCTCAGTTTGTTTTATTTTCTTTCTTTGTTTTGTTAAAGTTATCAGTCCGTTAAGTTACACTGGACTAATTCAGGAACGACCAAGTTCCATTTTTAAGCTATTTCCGTCGAGCCAACTTCACCGAGGTCAGACCAAGCCACGTGGGCTCGCCAGCTACAACGAAGGAAACCTGAAAAGAGCCAAATTGCCAGACGGAGGAGGCGTTTTCTTCAATCAGACACAGAGAACCCCGGAGAATCCCCAGCAAAAAGCCAGGATCGGGCAGCTAGTGGGACCCGTGCAACAGGCCAAAAGCAGGCCGTCGAGTAGTAGTAGCAGTAAGACTTAACACACATTCTGGGATCAGGGATGTCCCCTCTAACTCCTAAACTCATAGCGTTAACTTACTTTCATTAGCTCTTCTATGCCATATGAGTCAAATGCTTCCCACAATCGAACCTCCATTTCTCATTGTTCAGTAATTGTTTATGTTCCCTGTATCCAACCATCTTCTTATCACATTAGTTAGAGAATAAATTCACTGTAATATAATCAAGAACTGTGTGTGTTGCCTATTTCTACGTCCCTGCCAAGAGAATTGACCCTTTAGATATGAGACTGACTGACTGATTTAAGATAATTAAGCGATTATTAACTAACTGATCACTAGTAATAATTGTATAATTATCAAAACTACCTAGAGGTCCGGAGACTCTAGGATTATAACAACTCCGGTGGTGCTCTGAAACGAGGAATAAATTTTGATTTTATGAACAATAAAATTCATAACTGGGTATCAATTCTCATAAATTTATTAAACTAAACTAAATTTTTGGTTTGCTACACTATCATTCCATCTACTCATTTTGACTGGATGAAAGCTTTTCCTCACCTCTCCAGTTGTGCCCTGTGAGAGTTGTCTTCGGCTGAGGAAGATGGTTGTCAAACTGGGAAAAGAGTGTCGCTGCTTTATCAGCTTGGGGAGGAGGAGCGCCTCAGGGACTCCACAGTAATCCAGTGCTGCAGCACCTCAGTGGCTGCAGGTGAGACCGCCTGATCTGTTCAGGGCCAGATGCCTGACACTACCACCGTCTGACCCAGCTCAATCTTCCTTCCTTTCTGTCTTTCTTCCTTTAATGAATACCAAAAGAAAACTATTTGTTGTTATCCATTTGTTTCTTCAATTCTGCATCGGGAAAAATACAATTTCCACAACAATTTCAAAACGATTTCAAACTACGTTGCAAGACACAGTTTGTAGACAATGGATCCTGATTATAAGGTGAAAAGAGAGATAATCTCTCTCCCATGATTCATGGGGACAAACAGTGCACTTGACCAACTTGAACTGACCATTTTTGACACAGTCTGCCCGTATTCAGGGACGACCAAGACCTGACCTCTGACCCACGTTCCTACGTAGGTTTTTGACCAAATGACGGTTACATTACCTGGTTTGACACTGCATGTTGGGGGGAACCAGATGCCTGGTGCTTTGTTGTCCTGTTTCTTATTTTATAACTAGATGTTTGTCTGTTTTCTGCTGCCATTTCAAAGATCAAATGTTATCTGCACTAACAGACTGACCCCATTCCCACAGAAGAAGCTAGATCTGACGCTCTCAGCTCGTTCCATGTTGTTGGATGTTGTTGGATGTTATTGGTTAACCCTTTTTTCCAAAACATGGTCCAGACGTTTTGAGACCACAGAGTCTGAATGAAGTAACACATTTCAAAAGCATTCAGCAAGACAGAGACGCAAATAATTTATAAAAAATTTGGTGTTTGCTGGATCCACCCAGAATGGCAAGTTCAATACCAAGAAGGACACTAATTTCTTTACAAAAAATGACTACAGATTTAAAGAAGTCATATAAAATTGTTGCAAAAGATGCACAGACCATGTCTTTACATGGAATATATACCAATACATTTCTGTCCGCATCTGTTTGTTGGAACTTCCTTAGTTTATTTTTCTTCTCAAGGAAATATATACGATTTCCACCACATCCACAAAAACATCTGTTGTTTTATATAAAAGTAAAAAGAGTTTCACAAATGTGTTTCTGATGGACACCAATATTTCTTGTTTTAAATAAATGTCACAGAAACTTAAAAAAAGTTTTAATTTTCATTAAAACATTTTGGGTGTTGTTACAATCTGTTAAACCTGCATTTACAAACTGCTTTATAATAATATCATTAATAATAAGTAGACTGTGTGGGATCTGAACAATGATCGGCCGCTTAAACATGCAGTTATTAATGAATGGATTCTTGTTTCTTTATTTGGATCCACAAAGTGGCTGCTGGTCTTCATGGCTCCACACACACAAGTCAAAATAATTAAACATGAACAATTTTTTAAAATGACAGTGTGTGGATAAAATAGAAACGGCTAAAGCAACCAAACATAAATAAACCCAGTGAAATCATTTTATGATAATAAAATATCAAAAGGCCGACAGCAGAAACTAAAAGCTGATTGTCAAACTAAATAACAAGAAAAAGAAAATACAACCAATAAAAAACAAGAAGTGAAAGAAAATAAAGATGTGTTTGGAATAATGAGACAGCAGGAGGACAGGTGCAACTAAACAGGTTAAATTCAGAGACTTTTCCCTTTAAGAAATCAACAACATCATGAATATAATCATCCTCTTTATCTCTAACTGCTCTGTTCCACTGTCACACAGACCTTCAGAGGTGAGATCTTCATCAGCTCATCACCAGTGTAAATCAATGGAAACAGCCTCTCAGTGAAAGTGTGTGTGAAGGTGTGTATGTTTGTGTTAGTATCAGGATCAGAGAACGACAGCTTTCCTCTGTTCCAGTCCAGATTCACCCTGATCCTCTGGAGCTTCTTCTGCACGCTGATAACAGAAGGTGGAGCTGGTGGTGACCATGCTGAGTATGTATCTTCATAGAACTCTATTCTCCATAATCCAGACCCTATGCTTCCTTTTCTCTGGACAGACTCTGCTAACACTCCCAGTCTCCAGAGTATATTGTCTCCAACCTCGACATCCCAGCTGTGAGTCCCTGAGTTAAAGCCCTCAGAGCCCAGGACAGAGCAGTAATCAAACCTCTCTGGATTGTCAGGAAGCTGCTGTCTCTCTCCTGGTCTCACACTGGTCAGATCTTCAGACAGGATGAGTCCTGAACCAGCAGTGTTTGGGTCCAGAATGAGAGGAGTGTAGGAGACCATGTCCTTCATCTTGCTCCAGATGTTGAAGGTCAGGTTGCCCAGGTGTTTGGCCTGGTCTATCAGAGCTCCTGAGGGCAGCTGTGGATCATCCAGCAGGGGGCGCTGCTGGACTCTTTCCACTGCAGCCTTGTAGTTGAGCAGGAATGAGACGTCTTCAGCTCTCAGCTCCTCCTCTGTGGCTCTGACTGTGTCTGAAAGAGCTGCTATCTCTCTGCTCAGAGCCTCCATCTTCTCCTTCATCATCTGACTCTTCTGCTCCTCTTCCTCCCTCAGTGCAGCCATCCTGGCCTCCTCTTCCTCCTCTAGAAACTGGTGAAGCTTCTTGAACTGCTCCTTAATCTGCCTCTCTGTGTGTCGGGCCTGGACCTTCATGTGTTCTGCTGTTTGATCACACTTTACTTTAACTTGTTCACAAACCTTTAACTTCTCCTTTAAGGGCTCCAGAGTTTCCTGAAGTTCCTTCTTGTGTTGTCGTGCAGCTTCATCGACGGGTCTGAATCTGTGGTTGCTGTGTTTTTCTGAAACACTGCAGACGAGACACACTGGCTGCTGATGGTCCAGACAGAAGACTTTGAGTTTCTCAGAGTGCAGACTGCAGAGAGCCTCTGAAGCTCTCTGATCTCTCTCCTGTAAGACGGCGTCACACAGGTTCTTCAACACCAGGTTACAAGGTGGTTCTTCCATTGGAGACATTGTCTTACATATTGGACACTCAGGTGCTTGTTTCTGTCTCCACCAGCTCTCCAGACAGACTTTACAGAAGCTGTGGCTACATAACAGAACAACAGGATCTCTGAAGACCTCATGACAGACCGGACAGCAGAGTTCCTCCTCTGATTTAGAAGCCATTTTGTCTCTGAAGCTGAAAAAACACAGAAGACAGCAGATTACAAAAGGAAGTCAGCTGTGTTTCCCTCCCTGCAAGTACTTCAGTACTCTGTCCTGTAACTGTCCTCCCTCAGTTGAAATCACAGCTTTGTGATGAAGGTAAATCTTACCGTCTGTCTGTTGCTGCGTCTCTTCTCTCTAAGAACTGAACAGGAACAAACTGTTTCCTGGTTTGTCCCGGGTGATGTCATGTGAGGGCGGGGGGAGGGGGGGGGGGAGGGTTATCTGGTTCCCTAAACATGTATGTATGTAAATAGTGTGTTTAGCCTCTTGTGTGGGGCTGCCAAAAAGAAACTATAAATACATACTAGTACTAACAATAATATTAATACCATATATTACTCATGTCTTTACAATGATTATATTACATTATAATTAGGGCTGGGCACATTAGCGTGCTTTTCTTAATATTATTATTATTTTCAAAATTCGGTGCTCATTGGCACCAAAACCAGCAGTGGAGGGAGGCTTTGGCAGACTACGCTGGATGCAGCGTGAGGGAGAAGTAAAACAGCGCTCCGCGAGTATATGGCAGGTGCTCTGTTGTAGTCTATTTCACTTAAGTTGAAGGAGACCAATTAAACTGCTTTTCCAGTCCTATATTGTAGTTCTGTGACTCCTGTTTGATTCAAAGTTCAAAAAAAATATTAATTTTCTTATACTGACTCTTCATGTAGGGCTTCATTTCAGCCTCTGTGTGAAACAAGCTGCAAATGCTCCTGTCTCTTTAAGGCCCCTCTCAAAGCCCACTGTCTTCTGATTGGCCAAGACCTGAAGCATGTTTCCAGGCTGTTGCTGTTGCTGGGCAGAACAGGCGGACTGAGCCGGGTTACAGGTTATGTGGGGAGGGGTGTGTGAAGGGACCTCTGATCGTGAACAGAGTGTACTGCTTGTTGCTTTGAGCTTCAAGCTGCAGATTAGCAGCTGGCTCACACAGTGTGGGAAATATGGGCTTGGTGTGGCTGGTTCGACTGAGACAGGCACAGACAGCATTTGTTCAACAACTTCCACAAAAAGGAGCAACAAGATTTCACACAGCTTTTTTTCGACCCATAGCTTAGCAGTGGTTCGCTCTGACCGACGAGGGTTGGCCAGCAGCAATGAAACCAGTTGCTAGATGTCATTAGCTGCAGCTAATGTGGAGTAACATGGGCACACGGGATCTCCCTGGTCGGCTGATCCAGGCAGACCGCATGTGAGCGTCACGTTAGCTATCCGTTAGCTCAACGTTAGCTCCTTGTTAGCTTGCCTCGCCGCAGCAACCTAGTAGCGTCGAGGCCGGCTGGAAAGTCTTTTGCTCTTTAGACAAATCTTCTGCTCTTTAGACAGCTCAGTGCTGAAGAAAAATGGGAGCCGATGGCTGGGTCTCACTGTTGTATATATACAAGGTGCGGACGTAGGAGAGGCCCCACGCTGTGGGTGGGCGTAGACTAAAATTCTCAGGCGCGCAGAAGGGGTAAACCCAATAGCCATAGCCTTAGAGGGCAAAGCCTATACGAAACAGAACGGAGCCGTTGGTAGAAAAAGCAGTTGAAAACAGAGCCTTCAGAACAGGAGGAAATCTGAGGTTTTTGCTCACAGGGATTTCTTTTAAATACTTTAACCTCATTATTTGAAGCTTTGGTCATGTTTAACATGAATATCCAACATTGTAACATTGTAGATAAATCATAAAATGTGGAAAAGCATAAAAGGTCTCCTTTAAAATGACAGGCTACATAACTTTACCTGACAGGCCTTCATCTAGTTTTGCGGGGATGCTCTGCTGTGTGAATTCCCTCCTGTTGATGTCCGGTTTAGCAAACAGTAATAGTTTCTGGAAACTACAAAATACCGAGGATCAGTCTCTCTTCCAACGATTTGTGCTGTGCGTCGCGTACAAGAAGTTCAAGACAATTCAACTTTATCAAGCAAGGCAAGCACTTCACCTCACTATAACAGGGAAACTTGTTACTGAACACAGACTGTTTCTGCTGCTTCCTGATAAAACAAAAATGTTTCTGCTGATACCTGTTCAGAAAACAAAACAAGAAAACTGGACTCTGATTGTAACTTGTTTTAACAAGCTGTTATGAGTTGTATTTTTTCCCTGTGGGTTTCTGGTTTTTGCCATTATTTCCATAGTCCTGTACTTTTGTTCATGTTAGTGTTTTTCTGATCCGCGTACTTCTGTGTTTTATCATTATGGTCTGTGTCTTAGTCCTTAGTCTTATATCTCCATGTTTTAATGTAGTCTTGCCTCCTGTTTGGTCCCGTCCCTGTCCTGTCTTTCCATGGTTTGTGTGTAACTTTGATAGATCTGTCCTTGTGTGTGCCTGTGAACTTTACTTCTTGTTTTATTTTGGTAATCTTCTGTACTTGGTGTCCTTGTCTAGCTTTGTTCCTGTGGTTGATTACCTGATGTATTTCAGCTGTACTTCCCTCCCTGCTCATTTACCCGTGTATATATTTTCCTCAGTTGTCTTCAGTCTTTGTCACGTCCTTGCGTCTATGTTGAGTGTTCTGCCTGGTGCTCTGTTCCCTGGATTTTTCTGGTTTGTTCCCCCATTTAGGATTACTCTGTCTTTGTGTTGGATTTACCTTCTTCTGGATTACCTTTGTTTGGACCCTTGCTGCGAGCTTCCACGTAAGCCTGTTTAGTTATTTGAATAAACTTTATTTTGAACTGCATTCTCCTCTCGCCTTGCTGTTGTCTGCATTTGGGTCCACACTCCTCAGTTCCCTGTGACTTCACTCAGCCAACCCATGACACAAGCTAGATAAAAGGTAATACCCTGGCAGTGGCAAATAGCTTTAATATTTGATTACATTAATGTTTAAATTGAGATTTACAAGAAATATTTTCACCAAAGTGCCCATTTTAGGGCTTTCTCTATTCGAAGCCTCCTTCGGCTATCAACCATCTTTGTTTCCCACCCAAGAAACCGAACTGGCGGTCCCATCGGTGCAAGCCCAACTTCGTCGCTGCCGGGGAGTCTGGAGAACGGCAAGTGCCACGCTGCTGTGCACCTCCGCCCACAACTAACGGGTCACAGACTGTCGCCGGACACCGGCCCCCACCTGCTCCCCAGGTCAGAGTGTTTGGCTTTCTTCCCGAAATATTCCGCTTAAGGTGGAGTCTAACAAACTGTCTCCCCGATACATAGGTCCCTATGTTATTGACAAATCATCAACCCATCTGCTGCAAGGTTAAAGCTTCCCAGGAACATGAGGATCCATCCCGCTTTCCATGTGTCCCAAATCAAAGGTCAGAGGACAAGGACAGAGTTTTCAAGGGAACCTTTTTATAACAACTCTGTAGCCTATATGGCACTGAGAAAAGTAGAACCACACCTTACCATCTACATGGCAACAGACAATGTGAATGATTCAATCAGTCACTGCATGACTTTCTATGTACTCTTCCCCCTGAATATAAAAGAAAGTGGCCACAATTACCCCAGGTTCTATATGCCTATAATACCACCGAGCATCAATCTACAGGCTACTCCCCTTACAAGCTGATGATTGGGCAGAAGCCTCATTTGCCGGTTGACTTTCTGCTGGGTGTCTCTCCAGAGAGCCAGGTGTCTAAGTCAGCATAGGACTGGATGGACGAACATCAGAGCCGCCTGAGTTCAGTTTACCTGCATGCAAAGGAGCAGCTCCAGCAAGCCATGGAACGGCGAAACAGACATTACCAGCCAAATGCAACGTCTCCTCTTCCTTCCGGAACTCTGGTCTACAGGAGAAGGCTTCCCATAGGACGTCCTAAAATACAGGTCTGCTGTCTATGAGGTTGTACAAAGTATGGATGAAGGAACGGTCTACAAAATATTACCCAGAGATAGTGTGGGTTCAGAAAAGAACTCTTAACAGGTCAGAGCTCTAAGTGTTAGACCGATGACATGGAGGTGGTGATGGGGCAGTGGATAAGACACATGCCTTTGGTGTGAGAGACGTTTCTTTTGGGTAAGCAACCATAGAAACACATAGTGGTACTGATCCATCGTCTATTGTAGTGTACACTTTGACGGACTGCCCTAGTGACAGGGTAAGTGTAGCATCCCATGAGTCCACTACAGTGCAGGACCAGCCCAAAAGAAACGCAGCGGGGCAGCACAGCAACCCTTTTCACCTATCAAGATCAGTAAACCAGATGTTCGCTACAGCTGCTAATACGTCTCAGTTGCCCAAAAACTACTGTGTTTAGACCCTGGTTGTAGTTAGTCACCGGGACGGTGACCTTTTAAAGTGGGGATAAATGTAACAGGGTTACCTTTAAGACAGACTGTCGTAGCAACAGGTGGCTTCGGACGGATTTGCTTGTAAGTGAAATTCAACATTTTCATTAGAATGAAATAATATAAAGTGAGTGACATCTACTTTCTCTTGTTGCTTTTAGTATTGCCCGCACTACGTGCCTGTGGAATATAGCTATCTTTGTATATCCTTAATACAGATGAGGAGGCGGTATGTTGTCTTAGCTTGACTTTATTCCAACATGTCATAACACACACAGAATCTGTCCACCTCTTCCGGTATCTCGGTACGTATATGTAGATACCGCTGATACTGCTCAATCACAGATAGTAACAGGTTTACGTGACATCTCCCCCTTTTAGTCTGGTGTTTCATACAGTATTAAACAAAACAACTGTTTCTAAGAAACATAATCCGAAATTACTTTTCCGTTCATTTTTTTTTTCTCTTTTGAAAACACAATATTTTCCATATCCTTCCCTTTTAGAAACCCATGTATCAAACAAGCACAATTTCACTTATTCTATTTATCAACATCATTCTTTCCAAACATACTGTTTAAGTGGACATTAACTGTAATACAAGTGAACAAGCAAATATAAACAAACAGTCTGCTCAGACCTTACTCATTGCCCTGTAACCAAACTGGTCCGTAATCATTGGGAACATTACCAGTCAACACTTTTCTTCTTGCTAGTATGTCAGCTTGACAGCAGGTTTCACAGTATGTCCAGAGTGTGTTCTCACAACTCTGGGTAACAATGTTATGCTACCAGTCTCAGAATTTGTTTGGGTTGGACGGGTGGCAGTTGCCACGTTACCCGGTGTGGTGGAGGCTTCTCATGACTGTGGTGGAGTGTCAATTCATTCTTGGTTGACGATCTGCAGATGCCTCCGGTTTCGTCTGGTGGTGTCTCCTTGTGGCGTTTTCACCACAATCGAACGTGGAGTAGAACACGAAGCCTGTATCACCCCAGTCCCTCCCCATGTCTTCTCTGAGTGTGTTTTCAGTCGCACTCTGTCGCCGACACCTAAGGCAGGAAGCGGCTTTGTTGTGTATCTCCTGTTGTAGGTGTATTCGTAGGCCTGCTTAGCTTTGGCATCTGTCTGCCTGACTGTAGACAGATTGGGCCATGCCGGTGTCAACTGATGGTGGAGCTTGGGGACTGTGGTTCGCAGTCTCCTTCCCATAAGGAGTCTGGCTGGGCTTTCTTTTGTCGGCTCCGTGGCTGTGTCCCTGTTGATGCCCGTGGTGGATCCTCTCCAGTATCTCAGTTCTCATTGTTTGTGGAATCACTATTTGTTTTCCCTTCTTCACCAGTCCATTATGCTTACTAAGACTACTTCTCCCCATAAAATAGTCTAAAGCTGGTCTGACGACATCCTTTTTATATCGCGGCCAGCCAGACTTAATGTATAGTCTGACCTTGTGTAGGGTTTCATCCTGCTCTGTCTTTGCCTTTATGCGCTCCAGCACTGTTTTAGGTCTTTCCTGCTCTTCGATGGCATCCACGTATGCCTGGACGTCCTCGCTCAGGTTGGTGTCGTCCGCTTTTGACTCCGGGTGCCTCGACAGAACGTCGGGTATTATGAGGTTCTTACCTGGGATGTACTCAGCGACAGGGTTGAACTTCATTAGGCGGATCAGAAGTCGCTGACACCTCCAGTGGAGTTTTGTCTAGGTCTCTGTGGTTGATGAGTGTCACCAGTGGTTTATGGTCGGTAAGTAATTTGCAGCTTTCCAGACCACACAGATATAGATAGAACTTTTCTGAAGCCCATACACTAGCAAGGCACTCCTTTTCTATCTGTGCATACTTCTTTTCCGCCTCACTTAGTGTACGTGAGCAGTAGGCTACTGGTTTGAGTGTGCCTCCGTGATTTTGCAGCAGTACTTCTCCTAATCCATAACTGGATGCGTCAGCACCTACTACAGTAGGCAGTTTTGGATCAAAGTACTGAAGGACAGGTGCAGAGGATATCAGCGTTTTTACCTTCTTAAAGGCTTCTTCTTGCTGCGAGTCCCACACCCATGCCACTGCATTCTTCAACAGCTCGTTAAGGGGATGAAGGATTTGTGACAAGTTGGGTATGTATCTGCCAACATAATTCACCATGCCAAGTACCCTTTTTAACTCACTCACATTTGTAGGTGTCTCTAGGGCGGTGATGGCAGACACTCTTTCTGGGCTTGGAGTCACTCCCTCCTGACTGATAACTTGGCCCAGTAAGTGAAGGGATGCCTGCCTGAACTTACACTTCTGGCGGTTGAGTTTTAAGCCAGATGCGCGGATTGTCTCCATCACTCTTTTCAGGTGGCAGTCGTGTTCTTCCAGAGTGGGTCCAAACACAAGTATGTCATCCATGTAAACTACCGTGCCCTCGTGATCCTGCAGCAGTTCTTGCATCCTCCTTTGGAATATCTCTGGTGCCAATGTTATTCCGAATGGGAGCAGTTTAAAACAGTACCGACCATTTGTTGTTATGAAGGTAGTTAACTTTGAACTTTCTTCATCTAGGGCCATCTGCCAAAATCCACTGGCAGCATCCAGAGTTGTGTACACCTTACTTCCGGCCAGTTTGTGCAAGATGCTGTCTGTGGTTGGCAAGATAAACTTTTCTCTTTTCATGTTCTCATTCAGTTTAGTAAGACCTACGCAGATTCTTACTTTTCCAGTCTGCTTAATCACAGGCACCATTGGCGCTACCCATTCCGTGCGCTCTGTCACGTGCTCTATTATGCCATTTTCTTCCATTCTCTTCAGCTCCTCTTCTACTTTTGGCAGCAGCGGAATGGGTATGCAGCGAGGGGCTGCAACACTGTATGACTTAAAGTTTTCTTTTAGGACTATTTGGATGGGGTCTCCTTTAAGCAGTCCTAACTCCCCAAACACACTGACTTCTCCTATGTGTTGTATCAGACCCAGAACGTCAACAGATCTGCTCAGCAGGTTATCACCTGTAGACTTGGCCACTATTACCCTAAAGTAACAGTCTGTTATTTTTCTCCCTTTTAACTCTTGTGTTTTAGCTAGGAATTGCCCCAAATGGACCACTTTTCCTCCAGGACTTTCCAGTTTAGAAGTAACTGGCCTAAGTTTTGGTTTGACACGGAGGCGGCTATATGTAGTCACATTTATTATTGTTGTGTCAGCAACAGAATCTATCTTGAAGCTAACTGGAGTATGGCATATCACTAGAGTTGTGCGCCACGGTGGCTCTGTATCAGTGATGACTTCATCCACTGTAGCCTCATTCTTGGTTATACTTTCTTCTATTGAGCCTAAGAATTAGCTGTCAACTTCTTCTGTCACTTCCTGTATCATTCTGGTTTTGCACTTGTCTGCAAAGTGACCAATTTTGTGGCATTTATTACATTCTCTCTCTTTAGCTGGGCATTTGTCTCTTGCATGCCTGCGCCCAAATCTTCCACAGTTTGGCCTTCCATTTTCTTTCCTTCCTCCTGTTGCCTCATACTGTTTTTTTTTTTTTTTTTTCACTTATTTGTATAAGACTTTTACTTCACCAATGTGCCCTGATGCGCCAGCCTCGCTGTTCTGTTGCTTTACTAGCTCAGAGTGTCTGGCCATGTCGACTGCCTTTTTCAGAGTGAGGTCACTTGTCATTTGTAGTTTCATTGAAAGATCTTTGTCTTTAATCCCTATGACCAGTCTATCTCTTATTTCCTCCTCCTTCTCATGAAAGTCACAGTGAGCTGCAAGTTCATACAGGTGCCTTATGTACTGTTCAACGGACTCACCCACCTCTTGCGTCCGAGAGTGGAAACGTGCCCTCCCGAAAATCACGTTCCTTTTCGGCACAGTGCTTGTCGAACAGCCACAGCACGTTGTCAAAATCCTCTTCCTCGTCATCCCCTAAGACGAATGATTTGTACACTTGTTCTGCCTCCGGGCCCATAGAATAAATCAGTGCACAGACCTGGACATCGGCTGGCTCCTTGTTAAGCTTTGTTGCTACTCGGTACCTGGAGAATCGTTGTTTCCAATCGGGCCAGTCCTCCGGTTTTGCGACGTTAAGCTGCTCCGGTGCCGAAAACTTTGCCGTCCTGGGCGGATTCCTCCAGCAAACTAAACCCCGAGTCAGCGTGCAGTCAGCATCCCACTTCTGACACCATGTGGAATATAGCTATCTTTGTATATCCTTAATACAGATGAGGAGGCGGTATGTTGTCTTAGCTTGACTTTATTCCAACACGTCGTAACCTAACACACACTGAATCTGTCGACCTCTTCCGGTATCTCCATACGTATACGTAGATACCGACGTATGCTCAATCACAGATAGTAACAGGTTTACGTGACAGTGCCCACACTATAGGCCTGGGTGCAACAAAAAGTAATGAAAGGTACAATATAGACATTTACATAAGACATTTTGGGTAATTATATATTTTATAAATCAGGAAGAATAAGACTGCCCGTGTGATTGCCTGTCACTGATTTTCTCTTTCCTTTTAATGTAACTTTTGGGCCAGGTATATTTATTTACTTACCATTTT